TATATATATATATATATATATATATATATATATATATATATATATATACATAGAGAGAGAGAGAACAAATATTTTGAAGCGAGGCAAACAATATGAAACAAACTGGCAATGACTATGATATCAAATACGCGCTCTTGCGTGTGAAAGTGTTTGTGAAGTAAATACGTGTGTGTGTGCGTGTGCGTGTGCGTGTTTCTCGAACGAGACGTTACCATCGGTCGGTCGGTCGATTACGTTCGGAAGAATGGTGAGAATAATTGTAAAAAATTCGTTGGGTGTATCGGTCGTGTACTCGATTCGATTTTCTGGTGTGCCACGAATCAATTGAAAAGAGGAAAATAAAAGAAGAAGAAAACGGTAACACTATCGTGCCGATGCGACAACATCTAAACAATAATTGGAATTTAGCTAGAGAGATGGTATGATGTTGGCAGTTGTGGCTTACTTATCACTGTACCTCGCTTGATGCGATCGCAGGTGTTGTAATTGGATCCGGGTACGGGGGGCAATTTACGGTTGGGCGGCGCGATGTATCCAAGCTCGTCGCGCAGATCGGGCCTTCGTTTGTCGAGGGTGGCTCCTCCGACTCCGGTTTGTTGGTACACCACATCGTCTAAAAGTCGAATCGATCGTAGCCGCGTGTCGATTATCGATGATAGTGGAGAGCGGACGAGTCGATCGATGGATCGATCGTCGGAGAGGGAAGGAGGGGGAATTATCCCTCCCCTCCCTCCGACCGACCGAGTTCCATCTCTCTGTCTGTCTTCATCGGATTTATCGATAGTTTAAAATAATAAAAAAAAATTGGTATACATTGTCCCTCGTAATATTTCTCGTCGGCTGATGAGATACCTCGCAGCCGTGTCTGTTCCGGGCCTCGAGTTCTCCTAGACAAGGCGACGCAAATCACCACTATTCCTACAATAATGACGACGATCGTTGCTCCGACCGGGACAACCACGTTCACGTCCAGCCAGCCGGGCAACCATGGGAAATAACGCCTCACGTCCGTGCTGTCGTTGTCGCCGTTCCTTACCGGGGGCGCGATCGTACCTGTTCGTTAAGACAGCGGAAAAGAGAAACCTGAGTTACCTTTATCGCTACCATGGCCCTTCCCTCTGAGAACGCAGATCACGATGACGGCAACGATTATAACGAGAATGGCTGCTACCACGGGTACGACCAGATTTAAGTTAGCCATGAAAATTTTCATCGGATCCTCGTCGTTGCCACCACCGTTCACGTCAGGTAGCTCTCGGGCCGGTGCAATGGTGCCTGGAACAAAAAACATGGCGACCGTTCAATCCAGCCACCATTAGCACCGGCTAACGAGGTGCGCCGTTGCCGTTTCTTAATCGTTCTTGCCTCCCTTCTCCAAACCAATCCCATCCTTCTAACCCATCCTTCTTATTTACCTCCGGTCACGGTCAGCGTTGCGAATTCGTACTCGGCCACCGCGAATCCGGCGTTGTTGTGCGCGGTGACGCGCAAGTGGTACCAAGTCGCGGGGACCAGATCGAGAACGACGAAGTTTCCGCCCGGTTTCACGTTGTTCGACACCTGATTCCATTCCTGTTGGTTCCTGAATCAACAACAACAACAACAACATCGTCGCGTTTACATTCTCGCCTCGAGATTCCTCCCCGATCTCTCCCCCTCCTTACTTCTTCTTGTGCTCGACCACGAAGTAGATCATGGGGCAGCCACCGTCCGACCACGCGTTCAAGTGCAGAGTGATGCTGTTCGTTGCCACCTCGATGAATCTAGCCGCCTCGGGGATGATCGGTTTCGAGCCTTTGGTGCGTGTGTTGAGCATGTCGGAAGGATCGCCGGTCCCGATTCTAAAATTCCAAAGTATGTTGTATCTCGTGCGACACAAATCTCCTCTCCACCAATGATCCGTCCGTAATTTACCCGTTGTACGCAGTCACGTAGATCTGGTATCTCGAGCCGCACAACAGATTCTCCAAAGTGTACTTTTGAACGGTGGAGCTGATCTGCGCGGTGTCCCAGTCGCCGAATTCCGGTTTGTAGTGGATCGTGTACCCGTGGATCGGGGCGTTGTCGGTTGGATGGGGTCGCACTTTCATCGTCAACGAGTTGGTCGTGGTCGCGGTGAGGGTGATCTGCGGCGAGTGCGGCGGAGCTGATCGAAAATTCGTCAATTCTTCGTCAACCGATTCGCCTTGTTAATCGAGAAGAAAATGTTCGAAGGAATGGCTCACCGTGCACGATCAATTGGTGGGTGACGGTGTCGTGGCCGAACGTGTTTTCAACGTAGCAAGAGTACTCCCCGGCGTCGGTGCGGTCCACCTCCTTGATGAACAGGGATCCTTCGGGCAATTGGCGCAGTCTGTCGCTCGACTGGAGAACGGCGCCTCGCACTTTCCACGTCACTTCCGGCGCGGGTACTCCAACAGCCAGGCAAGGCAATTTCACGTCCTCTTTGTAGGTAGCCGTGAATTTGTCGTCGAACGATGCGATCTTTGCCGGTACTGAACAAATCATCACAGTTTTGCAAATTAGTGGGGCGCGTGTTGCGAAGAAGACTGGAATGGTACCTCGAACGCTGGGCGCCAATGCCACGATCTTCGATGCCTCTCCCTCGCCGATGTTCGTGCTCGCGGTCACCCAGAAGTCGTATCTGCGCGTCTTGTCCAATTCGGATGCCTCGTGGGTGAGTTGATTGGGCGGCACCTTCTGGCTGGTCGGCTCCTCCGCGTTGTCCGCCTTCGTGTACACGGTGTATTGGGTGATGACGCCGTTCGGTTGGCTGGGTGGCCGCCACGAGACAAGAATCGACTCGGACGACATGACGAGAGCCTTGATCGCGATGGGCGCTTCGGGGGCTGGGGGGGGGGAGGAAGATAAGAGGTGAGAAACGCGTTTTCTCAAAAGGAAGAAAGGGATTCTTCTCGCTTATTACCGTCCTGTTCGGTTTGGCAGTGAATAGGGGCAGATTTGACTCCGTCGCCGCCAGAAGTGAAAGCCAACACTTGCATGCTATAGTTCGTGTATTTCTTCAATCCGTGTAAAATGGTCTCGCTCGAGGAGGTGATCTTGGTGTCCTTGGTGTTCTCGTCGTACCAGGTGTCGGACGGTCCGTAGATAACCTGAGAGGACGAGAGGAAAGTTTTATTAAAGTTTGCATGTCGCTATCCTATTCGTTGTTATAAATACATACTTATTTACATTAGTATTACATTCTGGTTACAATCTTTTCTTTTGGTTAAATGCGCGTGTATATATAAAATAAAATAAATAAATAAAACGTAATAAGATGATACAATTTTTCAAATTCTTTTCACTTGCCGGCAAGTTAATATATTCGTAATATATTCCCAGAAAAGTGTTTGGATCGAATGTGAAAAAAAAAAAAAAATTCGTTGGTAAATCCGTTCTATACGTTATTCTGTTATTCTTGACCTTCCTTAATGTTTAAGTTTAATATAATATAAATAAACGCGTACAATTCATCGCAATGGCAGGTAACGCATGATTTTTATCGAAGAATTATTGAAGAGGAATACGAAATGCTTAAACGTCTCGAAAGTGCAACTTGCGAGTTAGCAAGAATATGGATAAAAAATTAAAAGAAACCGTCAATTTCGAATAGATAAAAACGTAAACTTTTGCCTTCCTATTAATTGGAAATCTCCACCTTATATTTTACGACTAGCTACGACTCGCTCGATCCTCTAGAAAATTACAACCTTGTATCCGGTGATAACTCCATTCGCGGCGCTGAGGGGTGGCGACATCCAGGAGATCCTGATGGTCTGGGAGGTCAAGGTGGTGCAGGTGGTGTCGTGAGGGGGTTGCTCGGGTACGCCTTCGGCGGTGTGCTGTCTTCTCTCCTCGCTCATCGGCCCGGAACCGACCTTGTTGAACGCTTGGACCACGACGCTGTACTGGGTGTACGTCTTCAGATTCATGATTTGCAAGTGGTGCTCCTTTCCGTCCTCCTTCGAGAAGTCCACGGTTTCGAACATGTACGGTTTTTCGGACGAGGAGAGCCTGTAGCCAACGTAGTATCCAAGAATCTCGCCGTTCCAGTCCTCGCGCGGGGGTGGTTTCCACGTTACCTGATCGAACGTTGTTCAAATAAAATACTCTGCTGAGGGAGGGATCGATGGTGAATTTCTTAAAACTTTTGTTACATTGGATATTAACGTGTGTGTTGTAGAAATAATGTTCAATCACGTTTAATAGCGAAAAAATTCCGTGCTTTCAAAGCTCAAAAACGTTGAAAATAATATTTCCATCGACGACGGATAAAAAAGAACCTCGGTATAACTATATCGTTCCATTTCGCTTTGTTAACCTCTTACACGTAAACGACGACATTTTGAACAAATATCGTCTCCTCGGCTGGAAATCTGACCGAGAATCACGATTGAAGGAGGGTCGAAAAATTTCTAGAAACCTTGAGGGTGTGCTGGTCGAGGTCGTCGACGCGGATGGAGGTCGGCGGTCCGCTGGGCGCCTCCTCGGCGGTGATGATGGTGACGGTGTCGGATGGGTCGGACGCGCCGATCTCGTTCTCGGCCACGATTCTCAGGTGATAGGTGGTGGCGGGTCTCAGGTTGAACACACCGGCTACGTTCTGCTGGGATCCGGGCACCAGAACCCTGTCGATATCAGTCTCCCACGAGCCTTTGCTGATCTTGTATTCGATCACGTAGCGCTTGATCGGGCTGTTTCCGTCGTAGGGCGCCGCCCAGGACAGTTGAACCGATCGCCCAGACTTGTCCAACACCTTCAAACCGTATGGAACCTCGGGAACCTCTGTGGAAGGGAATTGGTGTGAAAATCATGGAGGCGGGGAGAAAATTATATTTGTAAACTTGCATTAAAAATGAACCTTGCACGATCATGTTGATGCTTGTGTCGTCGCTTCCGAACGCGTTGGTGGCCACGCAGGTGAACAGGGCTGAGTCGCTTCTCTCGGTTCTCTTGATGCTCAGGTCGGACAGCACGCCGTTGGCCAAAATTTCCTCTCGGATCGTGTAACGCGAATCGCTCTTCGGGTCCAATCTCTTGTTGTTCATGTTCCATAAGATGCCGATCGGTTTCTCACCTTGAGCCTCGCATTGCAGCACAGCCGGTTCACCCCGTCGCGCCGTCTGGTTCTTCAGTTTGATCTCGAAGTGGGGCGGAGCTGCGACGTTTTTTTTAACGTGTTAGTCGAATTGGAAAAATCGTTTCTACTAATTTATGCGCAATTCAATTACGCATTGAGTCGTCTTTCAGACGAGTTTAACTGTTTTCTCTTTTTTTTTTTCCAATAAACACCGTCAAGGCAACGATTTTTCTCGAGCACATTTTTGGAAAAGTTTGAAAAAGGGTTTATTATATCCAATCTCGTTTATAAATAATAACGAGGAATAAAATAGGAATAGTAATTTTTTGAACGTTAATCATATTTGTTACACCGTTAAACTTGTTTCACGGTTCCAATTATAAATCGGACGAATCGAATCATCTTATATGATACATCCAACTATTAACCGGTTTGATTTTACCAAAATAAGAGAAGAAAGAGACCGCCCGTTTCACCTTGAACCGAGATGAAAATAACAGCCGAGAGTCCCGCGCCGATTCCGTTCACAGCCTCGCACAGATAGTAGCCTTCGTTCGTCTTTTGAATGTTGTTGATCGACAGGGTCCCGTCTTCCACGCTGATGTCCGGATTGCTCAGCTTCAAGTCGGTGTAATCGCCCGGCGTATCGCCTGCGGAGCAAAGAAAGTCAAGGAGGAGGATGCATCGAGGGAGAGGACGATCGAGGAGGGCCACGCTTTCTTACCAGCTGCTTTCTTCCACGTGACCTGGGGCTTGGGGAAACCGTCGGCTTTGCACTCGACGCGCGCGTCGGAGCCTTGAGCGAACGCCTTGTCGGTGGGTTCCAGAATCCAGCGGGGTGGCACTGTTCACAGAATAACGAGGTCATTCGGGGTGCTCCCCAGGCGCCGGTTAATCGGGGCAGTTAATCCGGGAGCCAGTCGCGTCATCTCGTGATCTCGAGTTTATTTTACTTCTACTTCTTCTCCTCGAGGGAGAACCTTTCTGCTTTCGATTTTTCATCGAAGTATAATTTTATCGAGAATCGAAGATCACGGGACGAGGTTTCGTCGCGTGCTGAACGAAACGTGTCGGCTCACTCCCGCAACTGCGACGACAACGACAACAACAACAGCGGCAACGACGACATTGCGAAAAATCGTGCATGCATGGATGTTAAAAGAGTTGGTCGATTAATGATCGTTTGACTACTTGCGCGAAAACTTGGAGGAAAGATGGTTGATGAACGTGCGCACCAAGAAACGGAGAAGAGGCCTCGGCTCTGAGGGAGCCGGGTGCTCGTGCAAGGCAAATTCTACGTTATCAGAGCTCTACGGTCCATCGTGCTGCTCACCGAGAGAAAGAATCGAGAGAGAGAGAGAGAGAGAAAGAGTCTATCTAGATTGGCGTTAGACTTGGAAGAAGTTAGAGGCGGCATGCGTTGTTAAAAAGAACTACTATTACTACTACTACTACTACTACTACCGTTACTACCACTAATGCATGTAAAAAAAAAAATGAGGCGAGACGTGTGGTGAGAGGTGGAGGGGGTGGTGAGAAGGTTTTATCCTGGTGAGAGGAGAGGGTTGATTTTTGAAGGGTCGATCGGATGGTCGGTCGGTCGGTCGGTCGGTCATCTTGGAGAGCAAGGACGCGACTTGTAGCGCGACGGAGGGGGGCTACGGCGAGGCAATAAAAATTCGACACTCGAATGTGAGACACGAGAGACACGCAGCTCGATCGATATTATTATACGAGTGGTGGTTATATCGAGTTTTCTTTTTTTCTTTTTTTTTTCAGGGGGAGGGCTGGCGAAGCATGGTGAAGGGTCTCGCGCACGAGGACGAGAGAACATCCTGATCGTCGTATTGGATCCCGAGAGAAGCCAGACTGAAGAAAAGCCAGAGCTCGAAAAATGTATGTCCGTCTTAGAAGATGATCTAAGGAGCGGACGATGAGAGCGTGGACAACGAGACAGGGGCGTGATCGAAACAAATACCAACAAAATACTAGATGCAGGTCAAGCTGAACCAAATTGCTGAACTTTTTCGGGCTTTGCTGAATAGGCGGGGAGGGGAGCGCGAAGGGAGGATGGAACAATTGGTCGTAAACACGGAACGACGAGATCGAGGATAGAGAGAGAGAGAGAGGAGGAGGAGGGGAGGGAGAGAGAGAGAGAGAGAGAGAGAGAGAGAGACGGCGCG